CCCAGTTGGCACCACCTATAGACTAGCTATACAAAAAGCTCAATCCAGCAGAAGAAACCAGTGAAATTTCACAAAACATTACGTAACTCTTGCATTTATTCTATATTCAGTTCCGACACAAAACACACTTGGCTTAATCCAATTGTTGAATTTCAATCACGTGACCAGATTTAAGCCTTCCTGTTCACAATAGAGTTATAATTTACTTTGATTTTCTGATATGTTCTTGTAGCTTCATTGAGCGCATTGTTGAATCCTGCACATGAAAATAGTGATTTGTTCAAAAATTCCTAAAAAGACAAATATTATAAATTTTAGAATTGGAGGATGGCAATGGGGTAAAACATGATATCATACAAATTAGAACTGATATCAAGTGTGGAACATGTGATGAAAATAATATTTTGGAAATTGAATTTTTTCGATGGATATTCTTTGAGAAGGAACTACATTGATATGGTTTGTCCAATCAAAATAAGTTTTACTTCAATCACCTGGGGTTTACTTGGTGCCCCAGTGGAAATTACATTTCATGTGTTACATATTATTTTTGCTGTTTCGGAAATATTATAATATTAGTCATATTATAAGACAGAAAAATAGTCATTTTAAATGCATTTTTCTATTTCCCAGAACATCACTGCAGTTTGGCATTCCATCCATATCAGATGTTGTATTTTTGGAAACTTCTGACTATAAATACATCCAATTGCCCATCCCACCATTGCTAATGCAATGTATGTTTGCCATATTAAGATCATATTTCATTTATATTCTGAAGCCAGATCTAAAATGCTATCAAAATCATATCATGAAACGTGGCTAAATACGGATGCTGTTCATCTAACTGAATAATTTTTGGCTTCAAAAGTTACAAAGCACATCACTCTAGTCTTGAGTCAGTTATTGATAAACGAAAAATGGATTGTGACATTTTGAGGTGTTGCTCTATTATTATTTTATATATCGGGGACTCTAATTCTTCAGACAGTTTGGACCATTTCCGTATTGTCTGAGATTTGATGTTTGATTTTCCTGCTAACGTAGACTAACAAGGAAATGATTTACACTGCAAGCAAGCAACCAAAGCAAGTCACAATATTGTACTATGATCAGGACTCCATTAGTTTTACGTAACAATGTTTACTCTGGGTAAATGTAAGTTTTCTAACTGCATGATCCATTTGACGGCTTGAGTCCCAAATTGTTGTTTATTTTTCATAGGTTTCGGTGATTGGTGCCAACAGTCTCAAAACTATTGGTTTCTAATTTATTAAGAGAGAACAAGTCTCCAATGATCAAACATACCTACAAAGTTAACCTATTCTGTTTTAGGTTCTCTATCATGCATTTCCTCTTTAAAAATATGAATTTGAGAGAACTTAATCTGGAAAACTCCAAGAGATTTGATTTGATGAAGATACTATAAATCAACTCATTATACAAAAGTATACTTTTTAGACCAGATAAAACTACATGACCTTAGCAATTTAAATCTTTTATCGAATCAACTTCTATGGGGAAAGAAAAATGAAATAAATAAAATGACTAATTTTACAGATCAATATTTTGAATGGAAAAATGAATATATAGTCTATGCTTTTGGTAACAGCACAATCAAACCAGCTTCAATAGTACAACCATATGACTGTTTTGAGAGAGGAAGTGCTTCATCCTTGGTCCAAGGATATTTCAATTCTTTTCATAGCTTGAAGGATGGTAGTGTTCATGGTGTTATAATAATGTCACAAATTATGGGCAGGTATTGAAAACAATGAATAAACTGAATCCACAAATCAATTCATCCACTCCCACAAACATGTCAGAAAATGGATATAAGCACTGAATTTAATCAAAAATTTTCAGGACTTATCCTTTTAAAAAGACTGGAGAAATACTTCCAATTTTCAGTTTCGAGACAAAATCAGGACTAATTATGACACGTCCAGAATATTTGAATTTTCAATAAATGGAAGACGTTATAATGTCGTTTTGCAAGAATGATATTCAAATTAAAAAACATTTCCAGCTATTTAATGCCAATCATAATTAAACACTGACATAAGTAAACATTTTTTCAAATGATGGAGATTACCTTTTTATTGTGCTCCATAATTTTAACATTGACAGCCCTAGACAACATAAATTTGTTAACATTATAAGCTCTGTGGAAGAAAGCACAGAATATGAATATTTATAAAAACAAACATCATAACTCTGGATTTTTTGACAATTATGACAGGGAATCTGCTTCCAGTTAACATTATTTCTAACATTCTGTATGTACTTTATAACAGTTATATATCCTTTATTTAGATTTACATTAATTTCTAACAGCATATTTCAGCATATGGAAGTTATTACAAAATCATGGCAAGAAATTAGAAGCATTTCTATTCCATAAGAAATTATATAAACTCGAATTTTTACAAGAGTTCTAATATATTCAAAATCATTATACTTTAAATCTAACCATAAAAAATCTGAATATTTAACATGTAACATCTCGTAAATAACACAAACAATCTATATTCAAACATAATATTAATTCAGATTTTCAATGGATTTGTGATTTTGCAGGTGCTATATAGCAGAATGAATTACAGAGACTGTAATTCAATGTTAAACTGGAAATGTATTATGCCATAACTTCTATAGTCTAGCTACAAGCCCTTGTGAGTCCCCCCTCCCAACTACACATCCCTGTGCTGGTGAAGTAGATAAGGGGGGGGGGGTCCACAGTCTCGAAGCAAGTCTACAACTTCTATATCACATTCATAGCTTTCCTATAGGATGTAATAATACATACAATATACATGAACTGTATCGTAATGTAGGATGTAATGATTAGTACATATAGATTACCTAACCTGGTAATATCTCTATAGACAGTGTACACATCTTCAAACAAATGGTGTATACAAGTAACAATTCAAATAACTCAACGGATATGAAAGATTCAAATACATGGGCATCCAAACCCCATTGTACCACTGGGTTTGCTCTAGGTATCATGAGTGTTGTGAGGGGGTAAATGTATATTTGAGTAAGGCCCCTAGTTGAGCTCATGATACTGCGAGCAAAGACACAGTAGGATGAGGTCCGGATGGTATGAGTAAAAGGAAGTACAACAGTGCCAAAAAATAGATCCATATTAATTCAAATGATACAAATGGATCCATACCAGTTTTATATATCCATGATGTGTATCCATTTAGATATATACAAACTATGGCCCTTACTATATGGGCCAAATTTTCAAAAATTGGTACCAATTTAGAAAATGGGCCTTAACTGGAAAAATGGGGTTAGAATTAACAGGTCAAAATAGCCCAGCAATAGTGATGGTTGCCCCAATCAGGTCTGCCCCATTTTAAGAGTACCACATGGTTTGATTTCACACCACAAAAGTACAATTTAAATTAGTGTCTCATACTTAAACAATTTCAATATTTATAATTACAATAATATGTTAAATAGTGACACTGACCATTTACAAATACTGGCAGTACAACTCATTATTAATATTCATAACATCATGTCCACTTGTATGCCCCATTTATAAAAACTCATATAAATTTCATTCATAATATTGCAAACTCATAAAGATTGGCAAGGATTTTAAAATAAATATCCATAAACAACAACAACACTCCTAAAATGCGTAGGAATTTTCTAAAATCAACGAAGTGCAATCAACGTTCTCTGACCACCGTGAAATCATTCGGACGCATTTTCACATCTGAATGCAGCTAGGTTAACTGTACAGTAAATAAAGTCATCATATGTCACTTGTACATGAGAATATTTAAATTGTTTTTCTATTGGATTATAGCAATCATATGTAGTTATGTTCATTCACTCTAGGCAATTGCATTGGGACTTAATACAGAACATGTACATTCAGTTATAAGTAAACCTGGAGGCAGAGATTCAACTTTTCCTGAATCTGATATGACAATATCGTAAGGGCCCTGTATCTATGATTCTGATCCTAAATTACATCAAATATTTCTTTAAAAAGTTCTTGTTGAATGCGAATTAATTGCCTTTTAAAATTGAAAATATAAAAGTAGGAAAATTAAGCAGGGATCTTGTCATGTTGCTTACTTGGATGAAAATTTTATATTTTCAGAAAATACTTTTTGAACCCTTCCAAAAATACTGTTTGAAATCAAGTTTATTGATGGCTTATTTACAGATCATAAAATGCATTCAAAATTTTTATTGGGTTAGGCCCGTAGTCCCTGGCCAAAAATTCTTTCAAAATCATGCAATTTTTCACACTTCTGAGCACCTTCAAAGTGATTTTGGGCCTGTTGGGTTATTTACAATCAAAATTACTGCCCTTAAAGTCCCTTGTTTTACTTAATTTATATTGCTATTTATATGTTCTATGCTAGTCTACTATTGCACGATACAGTAGTTGACTTCCATACTGATCCTTTAAGGATAATTGCAACTTCTGCCAGTACCAAAAGTTTATTATTTCCAAAATTTAGTATTTTATTTCCATATGGATATTATGGCTATCCCTTTACATTAATGACACTATAAGATTCAACATAATCTCAAAATGTGGTCGTACATGTAAAGGCCATACAGGTAACCATGGCAAGGGCTATTACAGGCAACCATATACCTCTGTTCTCATAAATTAGGAATATGACTTCTGCTTGGCCAATTTAGCTCTGATGCCTTGATTCTGCCTTCAAATATACAGAAGTGACAGTCAGATACAGTAAGACCCTTATTGTGCTGTGTATAGGTACCATAATATCATATTATATTGGCCATACTTTCACTGTAAATGTAAATACATTCTTTTGTGACCATCTTGAAAGAACACCTCTGAAATGTGAACACCTCTGAAATGTGAACACCTCTGAAAATGAACTCCCCTTAAATGTGACCACACCTAAAATGAGAACACCTCTGAAATGTGAACACCTCTAAAAGTGAACTCCCCATAAATGTGACCACACCTAAAATGTGAACAACTCTGAAATGTGAACACCTCTAAAAGTGAACTCCCCATAAATGTGACCACACCTAAAATGTGAACAACTCTGAAATGTGAGCACCTCTGAAAGTGAACTCCCCTTAAATGTGACCACACCTAAAATGTGAACACCTCTGAAATGTGAATACTACTTTTTAGACTCATGCAAATATAAAGCAATTCTTGTCAGTGTTTACATTACAGAGGTATTCACTATATAACCATCTATAATTTTCATCTTGTGACTGCTTACATCAACACATATACATATATATGCAATATGTACACAAGCACCATTTGTAAATATTGAAAGTGAAAAATGACAATTCAAAGATGAACATGTAATCTCCTTACACAGTTTATCCCTTCATATCATCTCACATAAACATTTCTAATTACAATAAATTTGCAAAATTTATAGGATTGAACATGCTCATTTTTGAGAGCAAATAGAATTAGACAATTATCGTGTAATATATTGGTTCAATGATCGGCTCTATGAGGCCTTAAATTGAGGTGATTACTTTTTATAAAAGTTAAACATTAATATTAAACAGAATTTTTAATTCAAAGTACACATACATGTGGTGTATAGTAAACATAAATATTGCACATCTGGTTTAAGGATTACTCAAAATATACAGTCTAGCTACAAATCTCTGTGACCCCCCCTCTATTTGAGTACACACCTTGAACTTGACAGTTGTAGTGGCGGGGGGGGGTCATAAGGGCTTGTGTTAGACTAAAAATGTATAACTTATCCAACAACTCAACCTTGTTCAATGTACAAAATTTGCACAAAATCTCATAATCTTTTTTTTAATTTTAGTAGAAGACTCAAATTTGTCGATGAAAATACAAATTATGTTTTATATCCAAGACTTGTGTGAACACATTTTGCTTTGTCAGCTATTATCTGATTTTTTTACAGATTACCGAGATCCAATTTGGACATTCTTCAATGCTCTGCTCATTAACTCATTTTCTCATTATATTCTATCGTTCATGATTATCTAAGTTCATTGATATCATTTTAATCCGTTCCATTTCATGATATAAATCGTTTTTCCATTCAGTGCTCCTAATACATGTCTATTTCAATCAATAGCTCAAATTGAGATTTACTCAATATTCAAAGGAGTGCTGTATGCATGAATAATCATTGCACGGGATGAATCAACCCTGGATTCTGATTGGTTGAGGCATGGAGATTAGCTCCGCAGTGAATCACTGTATGCAGCAGGATTTCTCATCTTTCTTGGACAAGTTGTGGGATTTCTCGTGTACATCTCTCTCTATCACCTCATCCTCCTCAATCCTAGAAGCAGAAATCAATCATATAATACTTGATTTTAATACTGTAGCTATTGATCATTGAGATTCCTGTATTATGTGTAGTTCATTTGATTTATTTTGCTAAGATTAATATGTCGTGTACTAACACTCAATAAAATATAAATAAAATTGTCTTGCATCATAACATTCACCATATGCAGACACTCGATTTTAACAGTTCGTATTATTTTGGGGTTTTATTGTGTTGTTCGGTGACACTATTGCTTTCTGAGTGTAAGTGAAATTTTGATTTTAATAGTTTGTATTGATTTGGGGTTTTGTCATTCTGATACTCAGACCATCTCTGCTATGCACAAGATAGAAGGACACTGAGAGAAAGCTGTGATATCTCACGATGGGGTTTTGTTGTTTTATTCAGTTCTTGCCTTCTGAGTGTAAATAAAAAAAAAGACTTTAGAGGCAAAGAAACTAGCAAACTGACATCACTCTCATCATATTCTTAAGTCAGTATGACTTACCTAATAATGATACAATCAGTGATGATGATAAATATGATGACGACGATGATAAGAAAGATGACAATATTAATGAAAATGTACACAATAAAGATAGCAATGATAATACATGTCTCTTCCAAGACCCATAAATCATAATAAAAATCATTCATTGATCTGATATGCATCCCATCTCTTAATAAAATGTAATTCCCATGGTATAACATGAAGGCCCACAGCCAGCTTTTGCCAAGGGGGGTTCACTTTCAAAAATACCAGGGGGATTCGCATTTGACAAATTCGGCCCAAAAGAAGTGCTCGAAATGGTGAAAAACTGCATGACCCCCCCCCAATCCTTTGGAGATGGAGTATTCTCCATGAGCATGAGAACTTCAACAGCAGCTATATGGTCGATAAAGAGTAGGATAAGACAATTTGGGGGATTATAGACAGTTGTGTTTTTAATAATATTCAGATACTTACGACAAGTAATGAATGTTGGTCACATATAAGACTGAGATCATGATGTTATGCATAAAGTAGAAATGGTTACTTCACATTTTCATGAATTTTAAATTTCAAGTATTTTCTGCCATCATTCATTTCAGAATTTTGCCGATTAATTATCTTGTCAAAATTAATTTTCAATATGTAAAAGTTTTAAATAAGACCTAAAAGCAAATTTTACATTTTATCCAAATCAATTCATATTAATTAGTTTTCATTTTTAGTTGTTTTATAAAATATAAAGCTAAAAGAAACTTAATTTCCATTGTGGTATCACCAGCTTCTATCTGTTAAAGCATTTGATAAAACGGACTGTGAAAAATTAAAACTGTTCATTGATCTCCAGTATGGTTGATCTGGAAGATGGTAATCCCTAGAGCCAGTTGAGTAATTGTTAGAATAACAGAGAATGTTTGTCTTGAAAGAGAGACTAATGCCTTGAGAGCACACACACTGATACATCTTCCTATAGATAATTCATTATTGTTAATCACCGCATTGTTGGAATAAAATAATTACCATCAAAGGTCCTGGCATTTGACAGCTTTCAGTCCTTGGTATAGTTAACATCAACATAAAGAAAGGTAACACAAATAAATCAGATGTTATTTTGATTGATTTGGCCAATATTTGAAATGTTACCACTTAAACAAAGCTACACCCCCACCCTCCCATGGGTATTATTATTTATTTTATGATGGTCCTAAAATGTTTGTATGTCAACAGAAACATTTATTTTTCCTAAAGGGTATTTCTAATGCTAAGTCAACTGAAGAGTGTTTCTAGGATCTCTGCTTCCTTCCCATATTGAATTAGTAATTTCCATGAAAATGATACTGGACAGAAAACCTCAATTTTGTTTGCACAAATCATCAGATAGCTCAAATCATAAATCAAGAAATGCATCTCTGTCTGTGGAACTGTGTATTGAAGGATTAAACTTTTCTGACCAGAATATCGATGAGAATGCACAAAGGGCAACATATGAACGACAAAACAACACAAACCCCTATTAAGCACACAAGTCATATCAAAATATATCAAAAGCTCACAAATTCATGTTAAAATATCCAAAAAGAAAATAATGAAGCACCTAACATAAAATATTCACATTTGGAACTGTCAGTAAAGCAAGCCAGAAGATTTCAAATTTCTAAATACTATGCTACATACAATAAATGATAAATGCCTCATAATAGTACAAATGTTTTTAATTTAATTCTCGACAACTTGCTAAGTGTTTTCATTCAATTCATTGAAAAAAATCCCAATCTGTTCTCTATAAAAGAAGCAAAAGGAAGTGAATGGTTCGTTCCCACCATTGGCTTGAACCTGAGTCCGCATGTAGCCAGTGCGCTAAGTAATTGGCCACAGACTGCTGGTTTGGTTTATGTAGTGTAAGTGTGACTCCACTTAGCAAGACATTCTATACTCTCACTATCAACTGATCTTCCACAACTAAACTAGAACCAGTAAATAGAGATGCGTTTCTGTATTGATCATTCTACCATGGACTCTTCAAGTATGTGATTGAAAAGAATTTATACAACTCAGTTTATTATGTAAATCATTTTTGAAGCAACATTTTACTCAGGCTCGTAGCCAGCTTTTGTCAAGGAGGGGGGTTCAAAAATTCCAGGGGGTTCACTTTTTGACAACGTTGACCCAAAATCAATTAAAAATGCTCAAAATTGTGAAAAAGTGCAAGATTTTGAAAGAATTTTTGGCCAGGGGGTTCGCTGGAATCCCTTCCCTGGCTACGGGCCTATTAACAAACCAAAGTGAAACTAGTACTTCTTGAAAGCTGAAATGGTCTTCCCTGCTTTAATTCTCTTTAAAAGCGATTGGAAGCATTAAAATATCACATTTAAAAGAGATCAAATATCGCTAATTGCTAATTACATGGAACTAAGTTCAGTAAGTATATATTTCTAGAAATATCGAGTGGTCTACTGGAGACGGACCCTGTCACAACACGTCAAGGAAAGAGACACTATGAGACACTTGCTATATGTGAATCTATGTCAAACACTAATTGAGGCTAGATCTCTCTCCCTCAGTCATAACTTCCTAATAACGCCGGCCCCTACTACATTAGATACATATTCATGACAAGTGGCACCTTGAATTGTAGAAACTCAATATCGATGAGAATTTTTAGTTACTGGCAACTACCACTAAATAGTGAATTTTAGCGAATGTGTTATGAATGTCATATGCAGTTCAAATATCTGAGTTTAATTTCAGGATCATTTTCAAGATTGCAGGTTTGGAAACATATGGCTATGAAGCCTGGGGTTGATACACAAAACAACTAAACAAACAAGTAAACAAACAAGTCAACAAACAACTTCTTCACATGTACAATATTTATTTCCTGTGTGGCCGGAGACTCCTGTGTTGGCCCAAAGTCTACCAATGTCTGCCTACTTGATTCCAGTGATCTCTAATCCCCAATTAGTTAGCAATTAGCTACCTTATAATCCTAATGAACGAATTACAGAATTACTTAGACATACAGTCCAAGTCTTCCCTACAGAATTCCCTAAAATTCATCTTTTTTAATTACACGAACAATGACGTAAGCAACTTCCCAAAAATCTTAAGTGTATGCCTCAGACAGTGAAAAATCAAGATCTTCTAAATCGCAATATTAAGAATTAGATGGAGAAATCAAAATTGTTCTTCAGATCTTGTTTGTAAGGAAGGGCACAAGTCAGGAAGGTTGGTCTTAAGGAGAATACAAATCATGAAATCATCAAATATAAACATCCTCTTGACTTTATTAACACCAAGATGTCTAGGTAACTTTACCATAATACTGCTATGTATCAGACACATATATGTTATTAATTATTATATGTCTGTGTGTTTATGACGAGCATGATGAACATTTGGATGACAAGATTATGAGTACATGATGTGAGTATAATTCTGAACAAACAAAATATGGAGTAAGTTAACTCAACTCAGCGACCCAGAATGAAACATTGACACCCATCTGTTACATCCTATTGTCATCGATTGCTAACATTACCATAGTGACAGTTTCCCATGGAAATCTCCCCTAGCGATGTGTTCCCATGGTTACACCTGTAGTGTACATAAAACATCGCACCAGACTCAGCAGCAAAGTCAAGTAGTCAGGTGGATTAATGTTATCTTCACCTTCATCCTACCTTGCTGGCAGAGAAACCCAACCATCAAATATTTAGGAGAGCATGACTGACAATTTGTCAATTAAAAAAATCAAATCAGGGATCTAGTTGAGAATGTAACAAGTCCATTGAAATTTAAGAGTATGCTGCTGCAGAAAAACACATATTTTCAAATCAGTCAAATTAAAAAATCAAAAATTAATCAAGGTAAAAAAAAACATTACAAAATAAAATAAAACAATTCCGAGGTACCAAAGGCAAAAGGCAGCGAAGAGTCAGGTGGATTAAGAGGTAAAGATTTATCATTATCTCCCCGCAAATCTCACATCATAGACTCCAGCCTATGATGCTTCCATATAATCCCGCAGATGTCTCCGCTAATTCGCTGCAATGCTAACAGTGTTTACAAACAACTACCCAGCAATTCCCTCAATTAGGCAAAACAAACTGGCGATAAAGATCAACCTGGAGTTAGCTACATCTTCAATAGTGGGAACATATTTTTTTGGAGAACAAATTCCGCAACAGTTGAAGTTAATTATATTCAAGATGTTCAACTCCTTATCTCGTGAGTTGCTCAGCATCTCTCACGATGCTTCTGTTTTTTTAACGTTTGTGGTTTGGGCCGTTTACTGGAATGTAACAGCTTGTCAAGTTATTCATTATTTTCTTTTGATTTTACATAATCTTTAATTGTGGTGGGAATCTTGATTGTTTTGGTTTTCCCGATATCTTGCCCTTTGTTCCTTTGCATTTTCCATGAGAGTATATATCAAAGAAAGGGGCAATGAAAATTTCTGATGTAAGAAACATATTTATTTTAACACTTGCTATAATCGACTTACGCATTTTCTTGAGAGTCCAACTGCTGAACAAGTTCATCACGTTTATTTACGATCAAGACAAGCTCTTCTAGAAGTAACGTCTCTCTTCGTTTCTGGGCCTCGGTCTTTTGCCAATCTACAACAACAATATGAATTAATTTCATCCTAAATTTCTTGAATACTTGTATCAAGAAATATGGTATGGCCAGTGGTATCTTATACTAGCTTCCATATGTTAGAGGTAGGGGGAAAACTAAGGTTGGTATGATGATTAACATGAGACATACCAAATATGTCTAAAAGGACAAGGGATAAAGACATTGAGTGTTTTGATAAAGAGGCAGGCAGCAGACCTTTAAAACTAGCATATAGGAATATGAAATTGATGCAATTGTCTGGTGTTACATTTATGAAAGTTTCCGCTCGCTCTATATAGAAAAGATTTAAAACGCATATCAAAAATGACAAGTGAAAACAAGCTCTTTAACTCATTAACATATAATAACAATAGGCAAAAATAAAATTATTCTTTTGAAATATGCCTTTTATCTAACATGATATTCAGTAAACATACTTCAAATTGCAATTATCATATGTGACACAGGACCATTCTTTCGTTTCAACACCAAATGTAGACTTCTTTTATGTCCCCATTATAGACGGAACGGCACTACAAACTTTATATATTTGATGTATATTTACATGCGATACAATAAAGGCTCAGTTGGTGCTTTTTCATTCTATATGATCAATCAATCAATCAATCAATTGATCAATCAACATCAAAGAATAAATGAACAATCAATTACTCATATAACTGTCAAATATGTCACCATTAAAAACTTTAACAAAACTTAGATGGTAATTTGGCATTTATTGAAAACACCTTTTTGGCGACAAAAATATTTTCATAAAAATTGGTTTTTGGAATTGAGTAGTAAGGTAAACATTTTCTGACACAACATCCTGTTGTTTGGATATAAAAACAGGAAAATAGTATATTACTAAAGGGAAATTGTGATGCCATGACCAATGGGTCTTAAAAGCAGGTATTGTAAAGAATAAAAGTATAAGATCTGACCAATCTTTTTCAAAACAGCTGCAATGTCCAAATACTTAAACCACAATTTAGAATATCCGACCACAATTCCACTTCAGAATTGCATATCAGCAAACTAAGTTGCCAAAATTAAATTTCATCAATTTAGATTTAAAAACAAAACTTTGTGAGCATTGTCTCGAAATATCTGGCTCATTGTTGTAAATTCAAATAGAGAGTTTAGATTTCATGGGTCTGCCGCGTTAACTTATTCTATTACCCCCTCAAGTGTTTGTTCTTGGTTCACATTTCTCTTACCATTAACTTACGAGTCTTCACGAGATGAGACCAATTGTTCCCGAGTTACAAACGTCTGGAGGAGTGACGGGAATGCAGACCGAACGATTGATGAATGTTTACCATAGTGTCGAGTCAAACAATACCAAGTGGCCATACTAAAGCTATACTGCTTCTTAACAGCATCTTAAAACAAATTCTACACAAAAAATGACCTGATCTTTTTTAGAGATTTTTTTATGAAGTGTACTTGGCTTTTACACACAAGTAGGACATATGACTAATTCCAGTTGTTGTATGGGACTTATGTAAGTGATCTGGCGATAAAACGTGGCCTCTGCAAAAATGGTAACTCAAGCCAAATCCCAACCTGTCATCCTGTACCACAGGAGACCACCCTTGAAATATTTAGGTAGTTATTTAAATAAAAAATTGCAAAATCTGAAATAAAATAAAGCAGAACGAAAGATATTACTGAAATATTGTTGCTTGTATTTTTGAGATTCTTCTTGCTTTGGCAATTTTAGGGTTCTTTTAGGAGGTATCTGTTTTTCCATAAAAGTTACAAAATGTTACATAAGATCATTAAAATGTTGGAACAACCTCGGGGAACTATCCAATGAATCTTCCAATAGAACATTTAGGTCAGATAAAAAAATATTTATGTCAGGAAAGTGCATTATGGTACAGATAGACCTTGTTAATCACTTAATTTAGACATGTCCTCGATTAAGGACGAGATTTAATGAAGGAAAGTAAAATAAAATAATATTTGATTTTCTAAGAAAAACATTCTGACGTGTGTCCATATGGAGCTCTTTTATAGGGGCTAGATTTAACTAGACGTGCGACCAAATGAGACAACTTTGGCATAGGGTGGAGGGTCACGACTTGGTATCATCTGGTTAATTCATAAAAGACCTTGATCTCTATATATAGACATTATTGGTAAAAGAATAACAAAATAAAATACACAGAATAACATACTTTATAATAATGAACGTATGTGCACGTATTGCTTGTTATATATAAAAATCAATGAAAATTGAGCAGTTGGTCAACAAGATCTTTTAAATTTTCAAAAAATTGCCTGGGAGAAATTGAGGTCATTTTTTCCTACAAAAACTTTTTTAAAAACTCAGTTATATTCACATAGAAAAACTCAGGGCAAGTGTATTTAAAAATTACAATAATTTAAAAGAGAACTTCACCTGTATTATGTGTATGCAGTTTCAGTTGAAACATTTGACAAGAAAAATACGGACAAAAACCAGTGTGTAACTTGTACAATGCTTATTAAAAACACTGAATTTAAATTACGGTAGTATTTACTTCAGCCAACAGGTTGCAGGATCAAACATATTGACACGCAAAACACCCAATATCCCGTCAAATATGAAATCACTTCAATAGTCAGTAAATCATGTTAGTTTTGAGATCTATTTTTTTGACACAAAGTTGTTTTTCTAATTCTGTTATTCTATTATCTTTAGGCACATGTGTCTCCTTGTTTCTCTTTTCACCATTGGTGTTGTTTTCATATCATGTTATTTTATCGGTAAATAGCTTTTATTCATTACTCCCTCATTAAACAGAGCTGAAACAGGTTGTTTCAGTTGTACTTTCTCCTTATTTTATATACTCTAAAGCTTGCACGTTTTCTTTCTCTCATAATACTCGCATTGCAACCTTATTGTTGCACACCTGTCAAACACGGCAGGGCACTGTGATTAATGACATCTTCCCCCTCCATTGATCTCATTTATCTCCCAAAACTAGGTATCATCAAATTCTTATCTATTTTACAATGGACTCAAATCCATAGAAAATATAGACAGCGCTCCAAATGAAGAAGTTTGGTCAAAGGTGAAATTAATAAAAGTTATTGCACTTAATTCTCTGTATGATTTTATAAGCAATTTAGAAATTGGAAGATTTCCTTTCAATTTTTTTATTAACTGATGGATGATAAATAAAATCCGGTCTAATTTAATCTAGCTTAGGTGCGGGGAATTAGATATATGGAAAATATAGAACATCTAGGAAATATGGGGTATCTGTAAAATATGGGGTATCTGAAAATATGGGATAACTGGAAAATATGGGGTATCTGGGAAGCACCCTACCCTCCTTTTGTGGTGTCTCTGGGAATCAAACCCAGGTATCAATGAAAATATTTTAAAACAATAGAAAGAAGAGCTGAGAGAAATGTCACTTCAAGAGTGGGACCATGAGGCGGAAACCCTAGGGAGAAATGACAATAACGACACCCCGAGTCTCCAGTTTTATAAACAAGTAATTAAGGGGATAAAAACATAAATTGAAAGGGGGGAAATATGGCCCTGTTATAAAGCATTGATGCATTAAAATATGGGACAAAGAAACAATTAGAAAGCTATTGAAGGATTATTATTTTAACCAGGATGATTGAATGCTCAGTTTCAAATGAGGGGACTCGCGCCACATGCTAGACTTTACTTTATACGACAGATTATTTCTTTATTAGACAATTTTCAATTTTCAGTGTCATGGTCTCCTCAAAATATGAATAGAACTCATGTCATTTGACGTAAAAAATATGCTTGAGATCCAATGAATGAATAAGTTTTACTATGAGGTGTAATCGACACTTAAGCCTTACTTTCATAAATTTTTAATTTAAAAAATTAAAATTAAAAAAAACTCGAAGCCAAATCAAACCATTTCTTATTGTAATGTAAGAGAAGATAAACAAATATTACGAACTGAGGTCAAATATGTCAAATGTATATAAATCTTAACATAGAACAGGACTTTGAATTTTATACAGAATTTAATATGCTAAAGAGAAGTTCTTAATTATTTCAATAAAAATAGTTACTTGTATTCAACTTTAACAAACAATTATAATTTATTTACGTAACATATCAGAAAATGATCACATTCTCTTGGGAAAATTCACTTCTGATTGCTGCCAGAGACTGTGAAGAAATCAGTGAAATAACAATCGTCAATATTTTCATTTTACGTCTTCGATGTTATAAAGATTTAAACGAGGGATATTCAGCAATTCTGCAATCGGAGTAATACTCGGAAAATTGTAACAGGAAAATAACTGTTAATCAGCTTTGAAAAAATTATAATCTTATTTTAGAATGTAAGTAAATTATCTTGCTATTCAATTTCACTTTGCTATTTGAAGGTTCTTTAAATTTTCCTAATTACCTAGTTTCACACTGTGAGTTTGCCGAGAATAAAGTTCCTTCAAACGTGACACCGGCCAGTTTAACTAATTTTTGAAACAAATAGTACCAATAGTTTCTTGTAACTAGCTCGTTAGGAAAATGCAGGTATACATTAAATAATGATATTTTATTTCTATGTTTAGATCACAATCAATTATATATAACTATTATATAATTTGTAGATTTGTATTTATTGTTTACGGATGCTCATTAGAAAATAAGATCTATGTCAGCTGTCTGTTTACCCGTTATTTTACACCTGGACAGGTGTATAGATTTGCTTTGATCTTTTACAGGTATCTTCTTCATTAATTGCCATTGCTACACTCGTTAAAATCTAATTCATCATAACATAGTTGAAGATGACAGATTTCTATACAAAAAGTGATTGAGACAACTTGAAATTGTAAAACAATTATTTTATTGTTTATTACAAATGTATCAATCTGTCTTAAGTAGATTTGAATGATGCAAAAAAACATTAGCTTTAATTGAAAATAGGCGTTCAAGGGTTTGGGGATTTAGACTTAAAGTGCAGTGTACATAATTCTACCTAACTACACCGGGTCTCTAACAAAATCAGAAATTATCTGACCATTCTTGTAGTTTGATTGCTTAACAATTAAATCAAATATCTCTTGAAAGCATTCTTTCAATCAATGTTGTCCAAATCTCCTATGTCAGTAACTAAATATTAGATATGTGCGTCACGTGGTCATTGTGCATACACATCGTTGGCATTTAGCTAATAAAGAGGTGGGGCATCGGAGCATTATGGCTCCATATCCGACATTCTAAAACAAAATTAGAATTTTATTTTATTCAAATTGAAAAGCCCTTCCTTGTTTTGAAATGAAGACAGGGAAGTACAATTAGGATTATATAAGGTGGAAAGAGGTTGGCATTTCGAGGTGTTATGTTTCTCTTAAAATAGAGGGCCATAGAATTTATGTCCCCTTCACCCTTACAAAATGTATCTCAATTGACGTCAGTTTGTCTTAAATCCTCCAAAGAAAACTCTAAGAAACAACCAGCCGTACACTTCTCAACAGAAGAACAGATATCGTTTCATATATTGTACTTTATTTCTGCTGATTTCTCGTGAAAATTGATGATAATGCCTAACTTTTTGGGAAATTTATTGAAGGGTCGCCATCCTGGGCCGGAATGGGATTATGCAAAGAGTGAATTCTTGTAACTGCCACAAATGTAATCGACTATTACAAGTCCCCCTAAAAGAGCATTGCTTTTCAAACATTTACACAATGGAATATTTCATTAAATTACTGAGCGAAAATATGTTTTTTCTAAATATGGTAGATGACATTAAAGGAAAAATAAACTAATCAGAATCACATATTCCAAAAACACATCCATTTGCGCAATAAAAGACAAGACACTTCTGCAGTCCTTTAACACTATCAATAATACAGTACATTAAAAAAATGTTCATGTTACAGTATAACGAATATGACATAAAAATTAAAGGATTTCAAAGGAGGACATCGTTCAATGAAGGCCTGATGAATACAAACACCAACTTTCATTAGTTCAGATATTTGCGACTCTAGAAAAATTAAAATTAAAAGTATCTTTTAGAAGGGTTGGAATCCAAATCATGCAATGTTAATTCATGTTGGTACAATCCGGGATTTCTTCCAATTAACAAATCAATCAGTATCTAACCATTCCGCATTCATACAACCCTGAAATCTTACACCTAAATGTGTATTTTACAGTGGAAATACCACCGATTGTATTATATCAGTTTATTGGTTAATCCACAGAGCTATTTCTTGACATAGATGGGTATTGTGTTGTTATTGAGAAATTAATTATATCTGGTTGAGAGTGTCTCTGGTTTCCTTTAGTATGAAAACTTAAGTGAACAAACTATTTGTGTGATTGGCTCTATTGTTTCTGTATTCATTGTAGTCTCATGACTGACAGTTTGATAGAGTATTCAGGGTATCTTGGTCAAGTTGGTTGATTGATTAGTTGATTGCTTGATTGATTAAGTAATTGTTTGGTTTTTAAGTGGATCATTAAGTCAGAGATATAGCTTGTTTTTTATGGTAATTAGTCATGGCTTGAGAAATTAACTCCTGTTTTGGTTACGGTATGTTGATTGATTGTTTGATTGATTGTCAGGTTGATTGATTGGTTGTTTGTTTGACTTACCTTCTATAGACATCATAGCTCGAAGTTCTCTGTTTAGGAGTTCAAATCTTCTCTCCAAATCATCCTCCTTTTCGCTGAAAACACATGAAGATTGGAGTAAATATAGAGGAAAAAGAGAAACAATGGAGGAAAATATAAATATGAAAGAAAAAAGAGAAATCATAGAGGAAAATATGAATAATGGCTCCATGAATACCCAGTCTTGTAAATGTATGTTATATCAAATACGATGATGTTTCTGCAGATCAAATAAGAAATATATACTCTCAGAAATTATAGAGTAAACAGAGTGGAAAATATAAATAAAAAATAACAAAATGTATGACAAACATGGCTATTTCAACGTACAGGTTTTAATGTAAAGCATCTCTAGATGATAATTTATTTGTCAATATGAAGCGTAATGTTATTTCATACTTATCTACAGTCAATAAAAAATATATATATTCAGCTGAACTGCATTGTTAAAGCATGTGTATGTAGTTGTCTATTATTGGCAATAACAAACCATGTTACATTCCTAATGCAGGCTTCAAGGGGTATTTAGTTCCACTATAACCCAACGGAAACATCATCCAATCTTACACTTCCTGAAGCTACCATATGATAAAAAAAAAATCTTCAAAGTTCATAACAATCAAACGCTCCTTTGGGATGAAATCTACAAATAATCAGTTTATAAAAAACAGTTTTTGATAAATCATATTCATTTGTGTCAAATCACCAATTAATAATCGCTAATAAAATCTTATTAAGAACCTAAAAGACTTGTCAAAACAATTTGGAGCAAGTTAAATCTTAACATTCAAGCACTTTTACCTTATGAGTGAACTATAAGCTATTTACTCTAAAAGTCAAGATAATTTAAAGAGGATTTAAAATGATAATCTGCTGAAAGCGTGCCTCTGTTTTTCTATCACATTTTTGTGTCTGATCTTAGTGAAGGGCTTTACACAAAGGATAGACTCCGATGAGAGGGAGTATTTGAATAAAGTATAAATTGATATAAATTATGATTTTATTTATATACAAATGTGACCTTGGTCATAAAGTAGCTTAAGGCATCTTCAAGTAAGCTAGAGTCAATAAGAGAATATATTTTGTTTGGATAACTTTTTATCAACCTTCACAAGTGGAGATTTAGCATTTATATTCTAGCTTATGATTTTGTAATTCAATTCTACATAAACAAAGGTTTTATCTTCACCTTGCCACAAAAAATATAAATAAATATACAAACACATGCACGCTACATTGTAACATGATACAATACATGATATGAATATTATATTATATTATATCATATCATATTATATTAAAATGTATTATATCATAATGTTTTTATCACATTATATTATATAACAATTGATTTGAAATCGATTATAAAATGATTATGCATCATAAAATACAAGCCAATATTTGTTACAGATTCCCTACAATGTCTTACAATTGCATGTCATGGGAGCAAACGAATGAAGATGGCTCCTTTCTAGTGTCAGGAACTATTTCTATACGCTCAAAAACACAAGGTTAATCTCCTATTACACACATTACACATCCATTATCATGCCTTCTACAGCGAAAATATAATCCTCTTAGAAAACTAAAGCCTCATTGCCGGGGGACATAATGCAATCTTCTAAGTGTTCACTTTTCAGTTAGTAATATCACCATCGGCAGAATTCTATAAAACAATTTTTTAATAAGAAAATGATGTTTTTTATTTCTCATCTTCAGATTATTATTTCCGAAGTTTCCACTTGTAAGGAATAACATTGATATGCTCATTAAACACATATGGGTGTGACCTTGACATGACCTTGGTTTTTTCAATTGAATATAAAATGTGAAATTGAGCTGAATAAAAATGAAAATCTTAAAGAGCTCTTACACATTCACTCATAGATTTAGATCAAATTATGTTCAAAATGTGGAACTCTGAGATGTTTCACTTTTCCCCTTTTTCAGATCAAGATGCAGTTTTTCCCAGTTGGTTCCCTGGTCCAAGAGAACAGTAAACACAAAATATAAAGCCAAATCTGTTGACGTTTAGATCCCTCTCCCCTACCACATTTTCTGATGCCCATTCGCTACCATGTTAATAATCTGAAAATTGCAAAAAGTGTCATCTTTATCATGTTTGAAAACATTTTATTTGATGAAAAGTAAAATATCATATGGACCTCCCATTTACTTCATCTCCATTATGGAGCTGAATTATGTTGGGGAGAGGGGGACTCATGAGACCTGAATGAAGACTACTGGCCAGCTGAATATCTGAAAATAGACATTCAATCACTGACACTTGACATATTGAGAGACAAACTGATAGGAACCTCATTTCACCCTGCCACTGTGAGGCCATCAAGTACAATAAAATAATGACGTAACTACAAACCAACTGAGCCTGATTCAGAATGATTCTATACGAACACAGCCACAAAAGTCATATAATGTTGTTCTATTTAGTTCCAAATCTTGGTGCATCAAGACCCAGAAGTTACAAACATATTTTCCGCAACATTTCCCAAGACACTTTATGAATGAATTTTAAAATGCATTAATATAATTTCTTTTTGATTTGTTTCCTCAAATCTAAATCAAAACCAGAGGAAACCCTCGTTCTAATGGGTCTATTAAGCATTGTGCATAATTAAACTCAATACATTTATCCTTATAGAAACAAACATTTTATAAAGGACATTTCAGACTTACATAAAAAAATAATATGTTTATTCCAATGGTCAAAGGGAAAATATGTACTAAAGAGCATATTAAAAAGAAAAAGGATACAAGATTTCACTCTGTGTTCGATTAACTCAAAAAAGAAGTTGTCTTAAATTTAAGCTCCTTATAAGGCAATAATTAAGAATAAAGGGATGCTATGCCTAAAGGCAGACTAAAACTACAACGGGATAAAGTTCTTTGATCTTGGAATGAAACAGTTTCAAGAAGAGGGGATGAGTGTTTGGTTAAAATAACCAAATATTCTTAGAATAGTTCCTGGCAGCCATATCAGCGTTTGCAACAGTTCAGTTCGGAATGTTTCCCAGATTACATTTCTATTTCACTCCATACTTTATCGATAACTTTTTACATAGACTTACATATTCTTGTTCGCCCATTAAAAATGGCCAGCGACCAAATAGATGTCTCAGTACAAATAAAATGACATAACTCAAATTCAACCGTCACGTTCACCTCAGGTGTGAAAATATTTAATAATCCTTGAAAACTCAGACTTGAATGAAACAAAACTTGATGACAGCACTACGAGTAAAAATATTTGACTATACCCTAACAAGTGGGGCGAGATGTATTTACCGTGGTACCTTATAGAGAGCTAGACACACAAAGGTCATGTGGACATTTCACGGACGTATATTGACTCTTATTCCTCTACACACAAGCAACACTCACACTTGACAAAATTAAATTTGCCCATTTGTAAATACTGGACCCTCTTGAGCTCGAAGGTGAAAGGGTTTTCAATTAATACATATTGTCTCCCTGGGTACGCAGCCATGTTTCTCACGCTGAACTACCCCTGTGTAAATCTCTCGATGGTTATGAATTTCCTCTCTTCATAGCATCCAAAAGTGAAGAAAAACCAAGTAACGGAACACACAAGTGTGATAAGTGTCATTAAAATTATATAATAAAAATACATGAAAATAAAACTGTTTTAGAGAAATATGGAACGAAATTTGTTGGTCATCAATGTCTGCAAGATTTTTGTGGTTAGGGAGGGTACATACTTCAGTTGTAGGAATGTCAACATAGGGCACAATATATACCAATGACAACTTTCATAAACAAAATATTACAGAGAACAATACTGTGACTCCCTTACCATCTTTCAAACTTCACCTGTATATATACAAGCCAGGCCCATAACTCAGGTATAGTTTGGGGGTTCAATGCAGTTTTCCCCATTTTGAACACTTTTCAAATGATTTTGGGCCAAAGTTGTCAAATGTGAACCAGACCCGTAGCCAGGGGCAGTAGGATTCGATGGATTCGAACGAACCCCCTCCCCCTAGCCAAAAAATCTTTCAAAATCATGCAGTTTTTCACCATTGTGGGCACTTTTTAAGTGATTTTGGCCATTTTTGGACCAAAATTGTCACAAGTGAACTCCCCCTGGAATTTTTCAAAAAGTGAACCTCCCTGGCAAATCCTGGCTACGGGGCTGTGAACCATACCTCAAATTTTTTGAAACGTGAATCTCCCTTGACAAAACCTGACTACAGGGTTTGGGGACGTCTTATCAATGAAAAAACAATGCGTGTGTATTAACGTTTTCCAAGGCTGCAAGATAACATGCTCGTAGATGGTGGTACATTCAGAGAGTGTATTCAGGTGGTCATGTAAGAAACCACTTGAACTCTCGTTTCGGTATCAGGTTTCTTAACTGAGAATTGTGATATAATAGCGAACAGCTTTAATTTTATTATAACAAATGAAACGTGAATACATCCAGTTTTATTATAATAGCACCTAACCGTGAAAACTGATACATTCAGTTTGAGTCAATATTCTTAAAAGTAATGACAAAGAAATAAGGGACCCGGGAAAGTGATTATAATTCCAATCAATATATATTGGAATTTGATCGTTTCCACCAGTCCAACCCACTTGCGTTAATTGAAAGCTTGATTGTTTACTCGGCTGTGTTTAACTCATTGGGCAAACACACACCAGGAAAGTATTTCAAATATATAAATACTGTGCCCTAAAACATCCTGGTTAGCAAACTTCTAAGACCCCATGATGTAACATTTGAACATAACTATTAGACCAACATGTACATGTACACACTGATTTACAGAAAGTCTGTCCTTTTTTGTTAATTTAAGTCCATGATGAACAGCATGCATGTAAATGTGGTGCAGTTGAATAAGCACTTTCCAAATATCACAATATTTTTCTTGACAAAGGTCACAAATAATGTAATATAAGCGACTAATATTTTATTTCATTTGTTGTCAAACATGTATGTACATATTTTCTTGGAGATTCCATCAACCCAAATTAAATTTTAACGCAGATGAAGAAAAAAATCGTTCTAGGA